TCCCACTCATTCTCATCTTGACTTTTCAATCCAAGGACTGACCCAGCAGCGTAATGAAATGTTCCATGTTACATGAGCCACCTCCATCTGAAAACAAAAGTGTGCTTGTGAATGGGCGATGAATCTGCAGCATTAACTTGGTTTTAAATGTGCTCATCCATTTTTATCATATCTCAAGGAACTAGAGCAGAAAACTTGCAGCACAAGTTTTTCAAAGTGCTACTGAGTTAGTCTGTGTCCTTATGGTTAGGATAGTCACAGGTGCTCTTCATCTCATCTTTCTCAAGGGGCTTTGCTCCAGGAATTATATCTCTTACCTTTCTCTACAATTATCCTTAATCTATTGGATATTTTTCTCAGCTCCTATATACACTCAATATTATTTTTATTGCAAAATAAGTCTCTCCTCTCACTATTAGTAACCAAAGCTGCCACCTTCCCTGTCCCTTTCTCTACCACAATTCTCTAATAAGAAGTCACAGATCCCTGCCCCATAGCCTCCACTGTCTCTCTCCCCTTAAATCCCTGCAGTCTGATAAAACTGCAGGGACAACAGGCTGATAAAAATCACTTGCTCAAGTTTTCTTATGAGAGTCCCCATATACAATAGTTTTGTTGAACTTCAGTATCTCAATCTCCCACCACTCTTCCCCCTTGAGCCACCCACCTCTTCCTCCCCTGTCCCACTTGCTCTCGCCCTGTGCGTAGGTATTGACCAAGGCTACCTGTCTATCTATGTCCCCCCATATATATGTTCTTTCTCAAATAGTCTTCTAAAAGCAGCAGCATCCACTATAACAGTTTTGTCTATCTTTCTATTCAGAAGATTTAATTAAAATCCTAACATTTAATGAGGTTCTGTGTTGTGGCAGGTACTTTGCATATGGTATCTCATTTAATTTTCAAAACAGACTTGCTAGCCCTATTGTATATTGGAGACATTTGAGGCCCAGAGAAGTTAAGTGACTTGTACAAGGTCACACAGTCAGCAAAGGAAAGTGCCTGGATTTGAACCGAGGCAGTCTGACTCCTAAGCAAGTCCTCTCCACTGTTACATTCTACTTCTCATCAAGGCCAAGTCCAACTGAACCTCCTTCAGGAAGCTACTCCTGATCACTTAATGTGATCTGGTTCCTCCATCTGTGGCATCCTCTGACCTTCACATTTTGCTCTATGTTGTGGTCATTTGTGCCCCCCAACACACACACATACACACACACAGACACACACACAACCTTATTGCACTATCCATTCTGGGAGAAAGAGACTGTATTTATTGATTTCACATAGCCCAGGACATTGCAAAGCAGGCAGATAGTAAAAGAACTGCCAAATTCAACATGAGAGTGATGATCTGGAAAAGTGGGTCCTCCCAGCATGATCCAGCACCCTGTTTATTTCCAGATATGACAAGAGTACTGGAAGTGAAGTAAACAAAGCCCAGAGTGTCACAGTGTACCAAGTCACTAGGCACACTGGACAAGGTGGCTCAGGGGCTATTTATTTTCAAGGCTGTGAAAGAAAAGGCAGAACAAGCCAAAGGACATTACAGACCACAATGCCGGGTCTGCAGCAATAAGAAATGCTTAACACATGCAAAGTTATTAAGCAAGATTCTATGCTTCATTTACTTTGATATGACAAAACCTCATATTTCAAAATAACTATCTAACACCAGATTCAGAAATCCTCCCTGACAGGTGCAACTGACTTCAATTTTAAGTAAAGGAATATAGTAAGTGAGTTACTATCCATCTGTTAAGGAAGACCTGTGCATTTCCAGATGATTTTTTTCTCCATGGAGATATCTCATTTTCCCTCTGCCAAATAAATTTAATTAAATGAAATCATATTAAATTAAAAATTTATCAATTTATATGAAAGAGAGGAAAGTAGACATTGGTTTGAGCTGATGGACATTGCTGAAAATTTCTCCTTTGTGTTATAACTTTCTTCCAGAACAACTCACAGGGGCAAATAAATAGTTGCATAGGCCCAGCCTGTGCAACCAACTGAGGATTTTGTTTGCATCTAGGTAGACCACCTGCTGTGTCCACCCAGGCTTGCCTCAGAGCCAATTCAAGCACAAACTGCCCATGGATTTTAAGAGAAACGCTCTCTTGATTTGGCCACATGTGGGGCTCAGAAATGGATATGGGACCAGGAGAGGAGAACAGGAAAACCTGCTGATTACTATGGGTGGGACATGAATGTCCTTGAAGTTTCACCCTTTACCTACACCCATACAACTTAGCCATCCTCTAAGTAAGCAAAGGGGTTTTTCTGTGAGCAGGTTAAATCAAAGTTCTGTGGTCACCCACACTGGATTCCTTTTACTCACTTCTTCTTCCATGATACCAAAAAAGCACTGTGTCCCAAAATTCTGTCCCAAGTCTACTGTTCTTCCCTCTTTATGATTTGTCCTTCATCATGTTCACCTTCAGCCACAACTTAAGCCATGGTTCATGGTAGTTGGCTCCCGGATTCTCTACTCTACTCAGTATCTTCCTCTGTTCCTGCATTCTTAACTGTTGGGAACAATCCCATTTCTGCTGGTGATCACCACTCCAATGTGGCATATCCCCTACAGACTTGCTGCCCTCCCTCCAATAAGCAGCCCTCCTTCTACTTCCCTCTTTCTTCTTATCAACAATGACACACAGCTCCTTGCAGATACTTTTCATTTTCCTCTTCCTTGGTCTCATATCTAAACAGTCATAAAGTTTCATCATGTCCTTTTTCATGAGGATGTCAGTCCCTTTTGCTAGAGTCTGGACAAATCCAGCAAGGAAGCCAATGTCATGTCCCTGGGATGTGGAAGGATGCAGGAGGTAGATCTTAACTGGGTCAGGAGGTCACCTGGAATGCTGGAGACCAATGTAGTCCAAAGGTCAAGTGCAGAGTGGAGCAGAGCAGAGAAGGGGAGCCAAAGCTTGGCACTAGAGTAGGAAGATCAGGCATCTGTCAGACCTACATGACTGGCGTAAGGACATAGTTAGAGGGAGGAGCAGGAGCAGGGTCTGTCTTGTTCATCTTTGAATTCCCAGAGCCTAGCGCATTGTGTGCTCATGGTATGCAGCCAATAAGTGCCCTATGTACAAGGCAAAATTATAACCTCTCATTTACCCTTTACCTCGTATGCAGCAATGCTCTCTCATTTTCGTTATTTAGCTATCAGATGGTGTTTGGGAAAGACACATTAGATAGGAACAACATCCCTTAATGTTACTTTTGGGTTATTTCTCCATTGTATCAGGTTAGTTAGAGGTAACCTGACACAATGGATAAATACGGAGGGCAGGAATTTAAATATTTAATAATATTTTGTGTTGTTTTGTTTGAGAATTCAAATGTTAGATGTCATTATAAGAAGGCCTTTCAAAATTGTTTGAAAAACAAATAATGTAGAGATCAAAAGTATCCATCTACCAGGCTGACTTTTCTTTCCCATCTATTTTGTGGGTTGGGATAAAATTTCCAGTGACTAAATCACTAAATCATTCTCAAACTGCTGTACCTCAACAATGTAGAGGAAATGACATACTCTGGAAAACTGTGCTGATTGAGGTGATGGCAAAGGATATGAGAATGGCAAAAATGGTATTTCTAATTAACATGATATAATATAATAAACCATTCTAAATATGTATAATAGGCTAAATTAATACGTTATGTATCAGCAGACATTTGACAATTTCTTGTAAATCACTGAAAGTTATATATTCCGTGTGGTCAAAATGCTTTTTATGGGCCATCTCATTCAGAAATGGAGAATCTGCAAATTGACTTATATTTAATAAACAAAATAATGAATGAATGTATAAATATTTATTGAATGAACCTTAAATATTAGCATTAGAAATAATTTTATTTAGTAACCTATTGAGTAAATATTGATTGAGCTACTATGTGCATATCAATTAAACAGTAACCAAATGGTTTTGTGCTAAAAATCTACTTTCCACAGGAAAGTAACAATTTTTAAACTTTTTAATGTAAAAAATTTCAAGCATATAGAAAAATAGAAAAAATAACATAATCAATATAATACCCATATAGCCTCTATCTAGATTCAACAGTTGTTAGCATTTTCCCAAAGTTGCTTTATATATGTGCAATTTTGACAACATCATACATATATGCAATTTGAAAGAATATATATATATATATATGCAATTTGAAAGAAAATGACAGCTGTCATGACACCTCACCCCTTAATACTTCAGCATCCATTAACGAAAATTGAAACATTCTCTTACATAACTATAATATTAGTATCATTCCTAACAAAAATAATTCCTTACTTAATAAGGTTATTTATAGTCTACACTTGGATTCCCACAGTTGTTCAAAATATTTCTTTCACCTTGTTTCTCTTAAGACCTCTCTACACCTTTTCTTTTATGAGAAATGGGACTTTTTGAAAAAGCCAAGCCAGTTATCATATAGAAAATCCTACATTCTGTATTATCTAGTTGTTTTCTCATAAATCTCTTACCATGTTCTTCTATCCCAATATTTTTTTGCAAAATGGAAGTTATATATAATAGCTTGACTAAGTTCAGGTTAAATGTTTCATTGGTGTTGCTGTGTATTGAAATTTCAGTAAGAGTGCAGAGTGGCTGGTTTTTCCAACATTGTTGATGTAATTTGATCACTTGGTTAGGGTAATGACCCCAAGTTTTTGATTAGGAAGTAAGCGACGAGGTCATACTTTAGCATCTTGCAAACACTCTATTCCTCATTAACTTTTCACCTAATGGTTTGAACATCTGTTGAAAATTTTTGCTTGAATCAATTATTTCATTACGGGCTGTAAAATAAAAATTTACATTTCTAATTACCCTCTCCAATGATCAATTTCCAGTTTTTTCCAAGCAACTTTTACAATCTTAAATATGTTCCTTAAGATTTCAAAGGCTGAAAACCCAAAACTTTAAGTATCATAGTATATTTGTAATGGGAGAGTGCTAACCTTGGATTTTCTTTTGTGTTTTCAGCAAAATGGGAAGACACATATTTATGAAAAGCACATTGTTGAATCCTTCGAGGAAGCTCCTCTTCATGTTATGGTATTCACTTATATGGGATATGGAATTGGAACCCTGTTTGGCTATCTCAGAGACTTTATGAGAAACTGGGGAATAGAAAAATGCAATGCGGCCATAGAACGAGAAGAACAAAAAGTACGTATGTGCACCTTCCTGGATCTTTGCCAATGCCTGTCCCTCTTTAAAGTGTTCTCAGAGGTAATGATATAGGTACTGACATTAGAAAGAATGAGGTGCTCAGGAATAATTTAGGGTAAATTCTATTTACATCCACTTCCTAAACCCCATTCTCTGTGTGTTCATGTACCGTATTCTACAAATATTTATCAAGTAACCACTATTTGCCAGATACTGAATTAAGGGTTTTCCCACACACATAATATTTAATATTTATAACAACACCATCAGATAGATATTAAACCACCATTTTAAAGAGGAAAACATCAAAATATAAGAGCAAAGATATCTAGGCAGGACTGTACTCACCTGGCCTTCTAGTTATAAGTTGAGTAGTATTTATACTCTATCCCAAAATAGAAAAGTCATCTGAGTGAACTGGGACATTTTATTTCATCTAGGTCATGGTTTCTCAACTTTGACACTACTGATAATTTGGATGGGATAATTATTTGGTGTGGGAAGCTCTCCTATGCATTGTAGGAATTTTAACATCATCCCTGGCCTCTACACATTAGGCCAGTCATTAGCACCTACACACACACACACACACACACACACACACTTGTGACAACCAAAAATGCCTGCAGACATTGTCAAATGTCTCCTGGGGTGCAAAATCACCCATGATTTACAACCACTCATCTAGGTACCTTTGACAGTTAACCTACAAAAGTCTACATCATCTCTTTTTTTGTACAGAGCTGGAGGACAACCTGGAAAATATTTAGAGATCTGCAAAGATCCTGCATTGTATTAACAAATTTTCCAAGTTGTTTCAAAGGATTTATGATGTGATGAATCTCTTTTTTCCAAAAATTACTTTGGAATACTATGAATATGGAAATGAGTCATTCCATATGATGGAGCCTTGAACATACGTAAACAAAGAACATAGTTGAGACACAAACTTCAATGCAATGAGACAACTTCAAACCCTGTAACTTAATGACTCGTACCCATTGCAAGATAAACACTTATTACAGTGACACACCTACAAACAAATTTTGCAGAATACTTATTTTGGAATTGTTTTAAGTCAAGAGTATCACCTTCAGAAAAAAATCATTATTATGATAGTCCCTCCAAACTTTAGCAAGTATTTGAGCATATGCTCTATACCAAGTAATGGGTACTAATATTTATAGAAGAAAAGACAGGTCCTGCCATCAGAGATTTTGCAGTCTGATATACAAACAGACTCATGAGCAAATCATATCCTAAACATTGATGATGGGCAACAGGGTAATGTGGGTCACAGGAATCTGTGTCCTGTGACTCCCTTAGGGAGTCAAGGAGCCATGATGCTGGGGCTCAAATGGTGAGCAGGAGTTTGCCAAGTAAGCAAGAGTGCAAAAGAGGACATTCTAAAAGAGGACACTGCTTGTGCCAAGGCATATGTTAATTCATTAACCAAGTGAAATACTTTTTAAGCATATAAGTTGTGCCAGGCACTGTGCTATGATCTGGGGATACAACATTAGCCAAGGTGAACACAGTTCCTGCCCCCAACGAGCTAATCATAGAAAAGTCAATAGAATTTGATAAGGCACATTAGAAGTAAGTAGATGGCACTATGAAAGCAAAGAGAAATGTCTAATGTGGACTTGGTGTTCAATGAAAGCTTTTGGATAAAAGAGAAGGGAAACTGAAGTCTTAAAGTTGAAGAGTAAGTAGTAAGGCAAAGGTTGAGTCAAGATCAGAGGAAGAAGTCTTTAGGAAGAGGGAACTTGGTACAAGATGATCTAGAGGTAAGAGAAAGCATTGTGCATTCAAGGAACCAAGGAATTCCAATGACCAGAGTGTCATGAATGAGAGTGGGAGTACGTGGGGAGAAAGACTGCTTGACTGTAATGGGTTTTTATAAGCCACAGATATTTATTATAAGAACAATAGGAAAGCATTGAAGAATTTCAGGCAAAGGAATGCAGATTTGTAGATTAGAAAGATTATTCTCTCTGTCCTATGAGAAATGGATTGCAGAAAGACAACATAGAGACCAAAAAACAAATTAAGAGGCTTATGCAGATATACAAGTTAAAAAATATATATAGATATCTAGATGAGATAGCCTGGTTGGGACCAGAGTAGCAATAATAGGGGTGGTGATAAGAGATAAGGCCAAGAGATGTTTAAGAAGTGGAGTTAGAGATGGAATTAGGGAGATGGACAAATCAAAGACCACACCTGGCTTTGTGACTTGGGTGGCTGGGTAGTAGAAGGTGGTGTCCTTCATTGGGGTGAGGAATAAAAGAGAAAGATCCAGTTGGAGGGAGAAAGTGGTCAATTCATTGTTTGACAAACTGAATTTAAAGAACTGCTAGCTAAACCTAGAGGTCTGGACTTTCAGAGAAAAGTCTTAGAGGGATATTGTGGCATCTTCACTGTATCTTCAGCATATCAATATGAATCAAAGCCATAAAATAGACAAGATCTCCCAGGGTAAAAAAGGAGAATGGGGGAGGAGGAAAAGAAAATGAAGAACAACAAAGAATTTAATAGATGGCAGAGATGGAATCCCAATTCAAGACTAGAAGCAGAGTGACAAGAAAGAAAGTTTTCAATAGTGTAGAAAAGAGATTATTTTGTGTTTGAACTAGGGAACAGGTGAATGGAATGAAAAGGGAAATAATTATAGAGATATGTAGGAGATATCAACAAATCTTGGTGGCTGAGTGTATAGAAGATAAGATAGAAGAAGGAAAACAGGGCAATCTCAAATTTCCAGTTTGGGCAGATGTATGGATGGCAATGTCACATTCATCACAATGGAATGGTCCTGTATAAGCAAAAAGATGGGCACAGATACAGCTTTGAGGACATAAAGGTTCTTGAATGATAAAGAATATAGAAATGGTAGAATCAAGCAGGAGAAAATCTAGCATGCTCCCAGGGATGCAGGTTTCCCCAGTCCTAGTAAGAGATAGTGATAAAACTGGAAAGTTGAGATTAGAAAAGTATTCCTCCAGGCTACTCTCAAAATGATCTCCTCAGCTGGACTGTTCTAGAGGTTATTATCGCCAATCCGCCAGCTCCGCCAGGTACAAGTAGCTAGCACACAGTAAATCAGCCCATTTCAGAGTACTGGACAAAGGGTAGATCAAATGTCAACTTCTCAGGCATGACATTTCTTGTCAGGCTTAGGTTTTAGGTCTGCAATCCATCTTCTAACCTGAGTTTCAATATGTTTTGCTCTTTTAACCTAGCAGTTCTAGTCTTCTTGGTTTTTCTAAAGCAATTTCTATATTTCATCCAGAAAATAAAAAATACTCATGACAAGTTGTTTCCTAGGAAGCCTACTCTGAGATGGTGGCTTGAATGCAAGGTTATTGGGGTGTGCTCCTGGGATCCATGCCTGTGAGATCGAGAAGGAAGCAACATGGGGTGGGAAGGAAGAGGGAACAAAAAGAGGATGGAGGGAGTTGAGATGATGTAGACCCAACAAAGGCCTCAGCTAATCACACAGGGAGCTCTGGAGATGGGTGTACCTTCAGAGTCATTCTGAACTGAGCAAAATGGGCTGGACCTTTCAAATTCTGCATAGGGGATCTTGGTTGAGAAAGATCCCTTCAGGCCCAGGCAATCCTTGGAGAGCTGTAAGCCTTCAGTGCTCCCAGCAGTGAGGGGAATGGGGGCTTCAGTCCAAAATGATGGGCTAAGGACAACCTATATTTTAGCAGCTGCCTCTCTTGCTACAAGAACTGCTTGAACCACCCCACAGGAGGAAGGCATTGCATTAAAGAAATCAGTAATTTACGTTTCTTTACAAAATAAATGCTTTCCATCCTGTCTGATCTCCAGGAGGTAGAGAGCATCAGTCAATCACTCACCTTGGAAGGCTGTGCCCTTCCTATGGCATCCCTTTTACTTGAGAGATTTAGACCCTTTCAGCTTTATGGGTTCTAATTAACTGCCATCACTTTATTCTTTTTGATGGGACTTAGTCATTCCCAACCCTGTCTATGGACTTACACTTTTAGTACCACTCCCTGCCCCATACTTCTGACAGTATCCTTGCTTTGTATAAATAAGCTGAGGCACATCTTCAAGTCTCTTGCTCAAAACATAGAATATACAACTTTCCCTGATATCCTGGTTCTTTTGAGCAGAAATGAGCATTATTCAATTCTAAAAGCTGGTCACTGGGAGTGCAGAACACACTCTCCTACAAGACAAACCAGCCACGGGCAAAATGACACCAGAAAAGACAGCACTTTCATGAAGTGGTGGTGGAGAAGAATAATTATGTTTTTCATAAAGATCACAAAGGGATGCTCTTATTTCCATTTTTACTCTTTTACTCTACCTTCTTTCTTTTTATTAATCAAACATAAAAATTTATTAATTCAGTTTCCCCATTTTTTTCTTTCACCATGATGACTTCTCTCATACCAAACCATCCATTCAAATTAAAGTGTTGCCTCAACTTTATAATCTCTATTTGCATTTTCCTTTTCTTGATTTCTAGTCCCAATACGCTGAAATGACTCCAAAACATAAAGGCCCTGATAATCCCCCTTATCTGTGTCATTTAAGTGATAAGTAAATGAGAAAACATAGAAGAATCAAAACTCCCTCGAGTGCACACGCTAAAAAAAAAAAAAAAAAAAAAAATCACAGGCTCAGGATACCTGGGAGCTCAGATAGACTCCACTAACAATCTCCTAGCAACAAAAACAACAATACAGACAGACACAAGATTTAAATATTTTGCTTAAATTCCCATTTAAGTCTTCATTTGGGGCCATATCTTTTTTTTAATCAAAGACAACTTCAGAGTTGAACCACAAATTCTCAAAGACCTCTGGATAAATTACTTTCTCAAAGATGTAATAGTTCAACTTCCCCAAATCCAGAAGAACAAATCAGCAAATATAATCAATTAATGTCAAATATCATCAGAGACTTAAAAAACTGTAAACACAGCCCATTCTACACATTCACATTTCTCAGGTTCA